TCGAACGGGATAAAAAGTATCCTATTGCAATTTCCTGGTTCTAAACTACCTCCCTGCCAATTTTCAGCTGAATCGGTTCAGCCGTTCTTGGGTTATAAGTGAAGTCACTAACACGACTTTCTTTTATATATATAGATAAGATTTTGTTCACTGTTTTTTTTTTGTTGTTCTTTATATATTTATTTGATATAAACCGTCTTTAAGAGGTTCTCTATTCTGTCATTTACTTTTTCCACATCTGATAAAAATATGCAAGGATATCCCTCTTCTGTGGCTGGGTTTAAATAGTTCTCACTCACTTTGAAATTCGGTCTCTAGATGTACAGCAACGCAAAGGTGGAAGAAAGATTTATCAGTGGTAGTTAACTATCTAAGATGGTGGTGTGTTGTCTCAGTGTAATACCTTACTGAATGTATGAGGTTTTAGTGTTTAGAATTAAGACCATTAAGAAAAGCAAATGTTTCTATGTTGCAAAAGTGTTATAAAAAGGTGGTGTATTAATGGCTTGGTTGGCAAATAAAAGGCCTTATAACTCATAGTCTTTCATAAAGAAAGCAGCGATTAAGCTGGAGATCGGTGAACGAAATGCAACTCCATCTACTTGTATTCAGATGCTTCTTTCCACATATGGAAGCCAAATGTTAGACAATGCGTAAGTAGCTCTACTTATTACACAGATATATTTTTTACTGTCTTAAGACTTGAAGATGCAGCCAAACTAATAAAATAACTGTACACCGAAACTAACTGTCACTGTTTGTTATTTTTAAATATTTAATATCATTCATAAATTATTAAAAATCATTAACAAATAATTTTGTTTATTTCCAAAGTCATGATTTCGTTCTAAAATATGTTTTTTAGTGTATATGTAGGTAAATTAAACTGGCTTCAGAATTCTTATAAAATTTGAGGGGTTTCGTATAAATGACCTTTACACTTGGTAAAGGTCATTTTTTATTTAATATAATTAGATTGCTATTGTTACTCGTTGAATTCTCACAACTATGTACATTAATTTTTAGCACTGAAAGAAATATTTTCATACAAATAATTATAAATATACTTCAATTTTATTATTAAGAGTAAGTATAACAATTTTGGAGACAATTTCTAAAATAAGTAATCATAATTATGGATTCATTAAGAGGGTAAATTGAAATGGATACTTATTAAGTTAAATTTCTAGCTTCTACCAAAAATAGAATGATGACTTTCAGGATACCGTTACGGGTTATTTTTATTTTTTAATGAAAACAGGTTGTAAAAAGATGGTCAGGTACATATCTCATACACTTTAATAAGGAAGTAGTACATAATCAGAGAATGATAACGACAAGCATCTGAAGGGACAAAAAAATGAAAGATCGTTCAACTGTTTTGGCGAAACAAAAAAGTGGAGTCACAAATAATGACCATTTATTAAATGCTGATGGCTTTATTTATTATATAATGAAATCATGAACGCGAAGTGATAATGCAATGTTGAATGAGTTTAGATCTAATTAGATTGTAGATCCTAATTGTGGTCGAGTTACTACATAGGTAGTACTTGCTCAAACATGGGCTGGCTCGACCGGGGAACAACCACCCCCTCACAGAAGATCGGCGTGAAGTTGTCTTTAATAGCTGTTTTCTGATAGATTTTAAATGTCTTCATAAACATTTTATTACTTTAAAGTGTTTTACTTATTAAAAGTTATCAAGAATTCATAATGAATTTACCAAATGAATTGACAAAAGCGATATAAAATAGGGAGTGTTGAATTTTTAGTAAAAGAATATTATAAAAACTATTATATAATGCAATTTTTTGAGTAATTTTTATAAATGAAAATAATTCGAATATTTTTTTTACGATTATACATAAGTGTACATGGATCTATTTCCAAATAAATCATTTTTAAATGTATGATTTTTTCTATACTATTGAAATATATTTCTGGTACCATCTTGCAGGATAAGATAAAACACGTCTAATGAGTTATTCGAAAAATAATATGTAGGTTCGAAATAGTTGAAAGCTTGGCAAAGTAAAATTATAATGTTGGACTGTGTCGGTAAGTTGTTATATTAATCATAATACTTAAACATTATTATCACAGATGCCTGTGAGTAAAGATAGTACTTTTAAATTAAGTCTTTATACAATATATCTAGCCACCAAAACGTTCATTTATATAGTAGCTTCATGACAAAAATAAACATGTATTTTTTTTTATAACTTCTTACTTGATTGTGCAATATTAGTATGATTATTTCTTAGATTATTTCAATACTAAAATATGTCGATTGGTTTGTAAGCAAAAAAAAAACATTTTCATCTTTGGTATACTTTAATAACATACTGACAAGGAAATGCACACATTTCTCCATTGACGTATTATTACAAGGCTTTAAACATATAATTAACAATTATCACTACATATAATTACAAAAATAATTCTAATAACACGAAATAATCTTAAAGAAAAGCACTAATCAATGGGCTCAGAGTTCCAAAGAACAATTGATATGAATGCTTTTCTTATAGTATATAATATTTAATTTATATGACAATATTTACAACTTTATTTATATACAATTTATATTTTTATATTACATTAAAATTAATAATTGTTTTTGTTTCTAATCTAAGAATAACTTTTTTTATATTTACTAAAATTACATTTTTGGAGATTTATACGATCTTGTTTGTAGGTGTGCTCCTTAATTTTAAACGAGTAGAACTATTTACATCTGGAACAAAACAAATTTGTATGATTAGTATTAAGTAAAATAAAATATAATTTGATTATATAATAGCATTTATTAATGTAATAGTATTATCAAACAATTTAACATGTTTTTATATCTAAATAAATAAGGCTTTAACCGTTTAATATTGTGTAATTGTTTTCCATTAAATTTATTGAGAAAAAAATAAAATTATATTGTGAAAAAATATTATAATACTAAAAGATAAGATCTTTATGTACCTATATTAAATTTAGAATTATTATATGTCAGAACATCATAAATGTTATTTTTAAACCACATCACACAAAACAAATTTCCTTGGGATGGGTCCTTTGTTTGTTTAATATTGGTTCATATGATGTAGGTCACTTTAGGCTTATGATTTATGAAAAAATAACATATTTACTAACCTTCCTTACCAAGTTATCTTTAAAAACAAAAAGAAAACATTTTATAAGAATTTTATATAATAATATGTGATAGAGTTAAAATTACAGTTATTATTTAATTTATTGAATGAAAAGAATCTTAATAAGGTAATGTATTTTATAAAAATACATTATTTATAAAACGAAAATTTTATAAGATGAAATTCATAGAAAATAATAATGTCATAAAATTTAAGCTTTGGCCTAAAGAAGGTCATGGCGTAACATGTACCATGTGTTTTATAAATAAATTTATTTTTTATGCCCACTCTTAAATATTGGAGTGCTCATATTTTACAGCGCAATATTTCGATCGATATTTTTACAGCTTATAAAATCTTATGACTCACTGTTGAGTGCCTAGCTGTGTGAAATCTAATAATAAAGGTTATGATTTTATAGATTAAAACGTGATTTTAAGCAACTTTGTGGGAGTTTAAGTTGCTAGTCTTAAAAAATTATATTACATCGGATTTTATTAAATTGTAATACATTAGCATCAATGTTTCAATAAAATAAGAAAACGTCTACTAACCAAATAAAATAAAGTTAATTAGTCATTTTCATCAACTTAAAGAATAAAATCTGACATAAGTTATATGTGAATCATTTAAACACCAAACCTTTGTTTGTACTTGTTGTAATAAAAAATACCTAAGTACCTCGTTTATTATGACTAATACTACACAAAACCAGGTCTAAAAAAATGCAAAGAAATTTTCTCTAAAGACCATCCCACCAACAATATTTTTATTCCCTAAACTCCAAAAGAAATTATTTATAATGCAAATTCATATAAATTCTTTAACGAATCAAGATGTATAGTGCGATAAAAGTAACGTAAAATAATGACGCTCATAAATTATATATTTAGCGAAGACAAAGATATTTTATTCTCAATTTACAAAAACGAAAAATGTGGAGCTGTATATTTCGAAGTTTGAAAGTAATATAATATAAAGAAAAGTAAAATAATCTATTTTTATACATTATTCCCAGATATACAATGTGATATTTGTGAAAACGTAGAGTTATCTCAAAATACCTTAAAATAGTTACTTCTAAAATTTCTAGGGCTCACTTCGAAACTATAAACAAGTTCAATCACAGAAAAATAGCATGAGCCAGATCAATTTAGTCTATTGTTATTTTTTCCGAATAAAACAATAATAGTAGGAGACACCGACAGATTCATCTGCAAGGGCCTCGAAAATTCCATGTATAGGAAAAACAGTAGAAGTTGCTTTCCAATAAGTTGGATGGAATGGATGGATTATCAAAAAATATAGAATATATTTATTTATAATACTTATATTTATTTATAATCTTGAAGCTGAATTAATACTAGTTGTACCGGAAAAAGTTCTATGGAACTTATTCTTAAAATTATATACAAGTGATGTTAATATACGGCATAAGTTGTGTAACAAAGTTTGTGTATGCTATAAGAACTACGTATGTATATCACTGTGTTGGCCATAATATGTAAGAATAACTTCCAATCAAAGGGCTAATATAACAAGGGTTCATTTTTATTATTGTATACCAATTTAATTATTTTTGTATATTTTTGTAAAAAAATTTTAATATTAATATTTAATATAAAAGGTTAAAAATTTCAAAATAATACTACTCTACTTCTACGTCTACTTGTATTTTATGGTTTTAATTCTCTAACTGACTTTAAAACCTTTTTTACTCTTGGGGATATTTTACCAAGTTATTTTTTAAAATGTCTTCAATAATTCTCATTTATTGTCAACATTAAAAAAGGGATACTATAACAATTTATTGTTATCAAAACATGATAAATGTAATTTGACTTACCGAAATCACAGAGCAGAAACTATTGGCTCCTTATCAGAAGTTACAATGGATTTATCAACGAACATATACATTTTGACGTAGTCTTCAGTCGGACTTGGTTTTTCTTCGGGTTTCTCATCAGGACTTATATTTTCGCCATCATCTTCGTAAGGTTTTAATTTCTCGTTAAATTCTATTTTATACCTAACTGAAGGTTTGGTGACAGTAGAAGTTAGAAGTGATTCTTGAATAGTTTCATTTCCATTGCAAGTCTTTTCTGAACGAAACATGCCCGTTCTTTCTGATTGATTATAATTTCTTTTTGATTTTTTGCCTACAATTGCTCCTAAACAAGGTAAAATTTGTTTAAATTCCTTTCTGAAATTTTCATTTAGCCAAGCGTAAAGAAATGGGTTATAACAAGTTGATGACATTGCTATAAAATGTGCTATAAAAAACAAAACCATGTAGTATCTCCAGTCCTCAGCTAAGGAATAAAAATCACTACTTATGTTTATTAAATTAAGCGGCAGCCATGATAAACCAAAGATTGCTACCATCGCAATAAGCATTCTATTCGTCCTTCTCTTTCTTTCTCTTTCTGCATCTTCTTTTTTACTATTCTTACTACCCGGCCTTGTTTTTAATCGGTCATTTAATTTTATACTGACACAAGTATAACAAAATGCCATAACAATAAATGGCAAAACAAAAATTGCATAATAGTAGTAACAGCTCCAAATGCTTTCCTTATTTGATCTGAGGGCCACTTTTCAGCACAGAATACATCTTGAAGGGCCATATAATAGCCATATGGAAAAGTCACCGTTAATGCAAAAACCCAAATGAAAATGATGAGTCCGATACAAGTTTTTATCTTCATTCTCGGTTTAAAAGGATAAATTATGACAAAAAATCTGTCGATTGCTATAGATGTAAGTGTTAAAGTAGAAATATAGACACTACAACCTTGCGCATAAGGCATGATATGGCACAACAATCCTCCAAATACCCAACGTCCCAAGAAAGTGTAAAGCGGTGTAAATGGTACTGCAAACACACATAGTAATATATCAGATAATGCAAGGTTCGTGATGAAGAGATTAGTAACAGTTTGCATCGCTCGGTTCCTTATTACCGCATAGCAAACAAGAGCGTTACCGAAGATTCCAACTACAAAAATAATTGTATATGCTGTGCAAAAAGCAGCTTGAATCGCTTTATCCTCGATGGGGTCTGGGGGTAAAGTAACATTATCATTTTGGAAATTATCATTTAAAGCGCTTGTGTTATCATGATACAGGGAATCGTTGGTAGTCCACACGTTCTGCATTATTTTTGTTTTCGTTCAATTCGATATCATAAACCATTTGGTTTGATTATATATATGAACATATTTATATGCTTGGTTCCTTTCAATGTCAGTGTTTCGTTCAAGACACTTTTTATTTTTCATACTTTTATAGGATCAGCACTGGATCATTTGTTTTGGTATTCATAACTTAATTTTCCTCTTATTACTCATAATTGTGTCAATGGGTAGGAAGCAAACCTGCAACAAAAAGGTAACCGTTAAATTATTTTAAAACATTCATATTTAAAAAATATTTCGTGTATTTAATTTATGGCGAGAAAAACCTGACTAAGACTAGATAATTTTATCAATAAATTTAAATAACATTTAGATAATCTAAATATGACACGCCAAGTCTACGTACATAAGTTTCATTGTAATAGCAAGGACAAGTTTTGTTTGATATAATTTTTATCATATATTATCGAGATTAAGATTGGAATATAAATATGAATATTATTATTTTACTAAACGTTATTTATTACGTACGTAATACTTTCATAACTCGCTTAACTTTTTTTTCGAATTCTTTTCTATTAAAAACAAATATCATATTTCATATAAACAAAACTAAAATATGAATATAATGACACTACATACTTTCAAACTAGTAATTCGTGTCAACTATCATCATTGTAGAATCATTTATGAGTTATCATCACGATTTGTTAGTAGTTTTTATATAAAAAAAACTTTGAACATTTTTTCCTATAACAATGAAAATATAAAATATAATTTCAATTCGAACAAACCATCGCAAATGAACCAGGGTATGTGTTAATATTTTTATAATATTTCAACCACGTAACCTGAAATTTTGTTTTTATTTTGTTATGGTGTATGTGTTGTCAGAACAATAAACCCGATTCGTAAAACATCTTTTCGGTGATAAAACTTTTATTACCCCTATAGTTTGTATCATTTGGTTTTTGTTCAGAATAATTATTTAATTTTATGATTCTTTAACATTCAATATCGTTTTGCAAATTCATACGAAAGATTATAATTGATGTTGTATTTAAATGGACAGATTGTGATCTCTAAAAAAAAATTTAAAAGTTTTCATGATGACATTATTTGGATTATCACTATATGTTTAAAGATAAGATGTGTATAAGCAATACAAGTTCATTCTGGTTATACTAATACCAGATGCTATTTCACGAAATAAGCTTCGGTATCTAAAATGTTTATCGAAATTCAAATAAGATATGGACCGCAGATTGCAACTAGTTTTGAGGTTGAACGAAATTCCCATTTTATAATAAATATGGCACAATAGGTTTCACGACAAACAAGTACTCATTTTCAATGGACGTCATAAAAATATCAACACGTAGAATTTTATGGGCGTATTAAGGAACATTAGATATTAATGGAGATACATTTTCTGTTCAATATACTTACATACTTTATTATCATACAAGTCTCAAGAAATACAAAGCCAAAAGTGACCTTTGATGTATTTTTTTTAATCATGTGAACTTTAAACCTAGTACGTCTTTATTTGTTATGTCTACTAACCAAGTATCAACAATATTAGAGATGAGCCTACCACCACTCACTCTAATGTGGGTTTCTGGGCTTCATGAAATTCTCATTCCTAGATTTGACCTGGATAGATATAGATTTCTACATCGTGTGACTAATTAAACCCGTGAGCTGATGTATAGATAAATGATAATAGTTCGTACCAATTATAATTCCACACTTCATTATGTATTATTATGATAAATAAAGGAATTCGCGATACCAATTCCAGTAAATTGTGTTTCTAGTCAATATAAACTGCAGAGATATGATTAAACAATTATGTATGAAATAATTCCACCCTTATTAATAATTAAACGCGTGTAAGGAAGCAGAAGAAGTAATTATCACGCCATCATATACTACCTTTCAATCCACAGTCTATTAACTGTAGCCGTACGATACTAATAAATTTGCATCAACCTATTTCATTAACAGAGAATGGAAACTATGGTTTTCCAAGTACTTAATAGTCCATTACAATAGTTGACACGCCTTAGTAACTGTTTAAGTTATTTGTTCATGTAGCCACATTTAGCGTTCAATTAAAAAGATTGTTAATTGCCCTAAATCATTCAATCAATCGGTCTGCCTAAACTATATTTAAAATAAGAGTTTTATACACATTTTATTAACACAGTAATTGCATTGCAATGACACTGTTCTCTTTTATATCAGACATGTAAATTAAGAACACAATTTTTTTGTTTACAAAGAAAACTCGTTTATTTCGATTGATGTTTGTTAGTAGTCTGACAGCAATCAGTACTAAGGTCGAATCCAATGTATTAGAGTGTAAATGAAACGACCAGAATAGAACAATTTGATTTATGCTAAATGCTATTTCTTTTTACTTGTATTTACGGTTCTTTCTCAAACTTGAACTTTTCTACCTTGAAATTCTATTCTTTTTTCTGATTTGCTTAATGAGTGAAATATAGCACAACTAAAAAAAGCAAAAACGTGTGTATGTGGAGACTATGAATTTATTTTTATACTCATCAAAATTAAAAGATCATAGTTCAAGGTAATAAAACTCACAATCAACTTTCCGGTTTTCGTATAGTTAGAAAGATGGGTGGTGTTAGTTAGATAAAGCTATTTTGAAACCTTCGTGAGATTTGGAATATAAATTTAATATTTAATATTGATGGACAAGACACTGCCTGTTTTAGATATAACTAGAATAGTGGATACGTCTAATTCGATAACAGAAATAGGCTTATTGTTTTCATAAATAAGTATTGCCATTTACATCACAACTTTATGATTCAAATGCAAAGTAGAAAGAGTAAGCGTACATTTTTAAAGAAGGTCCCTCGAACAACGTTGACCTGTTACAACGCTCTTACTAATTTTTTAATACTTTCAATACTGTTTTATAACTTATATATTTAGGATTTAGAACATAAAATATATTTTGTATTGCAATAAATGGAAAAGTACTTAGATTGCATTAAGTGAGTACACAAAAACGTAAGCTTAGATAAGATAAGACAAAACAGGATTCTATATAAAAATATTCGAATAGTAAGGACCGAAAAAGAAGAGAACTAACTTTCAAAATATGGAAGGCTCTGTATTTCTTACTTCAAATAAAACTGTGCAAATGAAACAGAAGTGTGTATATGTCTTCCTATTTTTTTTGGCCTTTTTTAACCTTAGAAAGCAAATATTGGGATGTTAACGATTTTAATTAAAATTTGCTCTTAATTTGGACTCTTACAATCCAAGTGAAGCTTATTTTTGAGCCGCAGATTTTATCAGCTAAATGAAAACGTTGCAGTGAGTGAACAGTTTCTTAACGCGAGTAAAGAAATAATGTTATCGATATTTAGAGATCCCCTCAAGATTTTCACCATTGTTTATAACTTTGCCAAAAGTTTGAAAAGCAAAATCTTGTAAGGAACTTCAGATATTAAAAGTTTCTATAAAATCGTTTTGACGTCCAATATGTTACCACAATCAACAGAAAGAGATAACTATTTAATTGCTTTTCTTGCAGATGGTTTCTATTTTAGTAAAAGTTAATACATTTAAAAGATTTAAGTAAGTAAGAAATAAGTAGGATTTATTTCTTTCAATTGTATGTACCTATGTTTCATAACTCAGTTGGTCATAAGATGTACTTATAGTTATCGTTTATTAAATTGTTTTTTACATTCCATACAAAAAAATGATAAAATTATATTCAATTTTTTTTTATTTGGAATCTTTTAGTTTATTTTTTTTATAAACAATAAAAAAGTCTCTCTTTGGGATTTTGAAGAACTGTAATATAATTTTACCAAAAAAAATATTCTTTAATATTTTGTGTTACGAGAAACTTTATAAGCAACGTAATATATACATACATATAAAATTATTCCCTACTGGGCTTTCCTACAATATTATGAAAAGGAATGTAAAATTACCCGGAAAATAATGTATGTACATGGAAAATGTCAAGAGAAAACCAGATGAAAAATACTACATTGGAGGGTTAAGCTGCAGAGAAATTTAGTGCCTTTTGTAATTAAAGTTCGGAGTGTTTTAATTACTTAAATACTAGCTCAGTGTTTTAAGAGCATAGCTAAGTTTAGCTTAAGCATCGAATTAAGTCGCTATTTCAATTCCTTTAAGGCTTATAAACGCATTAATTGAATTAAAATATTATATTATTAAGAAATATCAACTGCGTATAAAATGAAAATTTAATTTGTGAATCACAAAATTTCAATGAAGTTCGTTTGAGAACTTCAAATTTATATTGATTTTTATAATTATTTCATACTCCTTAACTCTCTTATATAAAAGATATAAAATATTTTTAAATCTCTTTTTATTAATAAGGCTTTCTCTAAAAATATTTTTACTTTCCAATCAAAAGTAGTTAAGCCATGCAATGTGCATTTATGTTTGAAAGATTGAGGTTTATTAAGAGGAAAAATCATTTTATATTACAAAATATATGTAACTTATTGTATAGCATTTATATATAAGAAATACTCAAGTAAAATATTTTCTTCATTTATTTAATTAGTTTTACAGCTGCGTCTTAAATCCCAGAAGTGTTTTTAGTAGAAACTTATTTATTTACCCATTTATTTGAGATTGTGAGTAAATTTGGTGAGTTTTAAAATGGATATTATTTCTCTAACGATAGGTTCTTTATTTTTCTAGTCAATCAAAATAATGGTCATTTTTCATCATACTTACAGTTATTTTAAGAGGAAATGTATTTTGTACCCAATAAGTTCCAAAGTATACCAATTAAATCCCTATATATATACATATATGCCTATTATAGTTCCAAAATGAGATTTTGGTCAGAGGTTCAAGAAACGTTGAGCGCGTTACATATGCATCTGAATGAAGAACAATGTACATATAAGATAGGCATTGTAATTCGTTCTCTTTATATGATGAAGAGAAATATGTATTTCGAAAGAGTAATGGTGATAAAGGCC